ATTGAGACTGATGAGAGGGAGTACCGTTGGCCGGTAAGCCCTAATTCGCGAGCCGCGCGCAACCCTTAATCCCGCCCTCGTGCCGTCGTACATGACGAGCGACGTGCTTCAGCGCTGGGCGGAAACGCGCGGAGAGTCGTCATGCCTCTCGCAAATCGACGGCCCTCCCAGCGCGATTAGGTAAACACGGCTGTTTCCCAAGAAGAGAAAAAGAGAGTTTCTCTCAATTTCGATCGGAAGCGCTTAAGTTTTTCTCGGGCTAAATTTCGCCCGCATGTCTCTCTCCTGGAGATTGAACGTGAATATTTCTGTAGGAAAAAAGGAGGGGGGGCTTTTAGGACACCCGTGATTCACGAGTTTTGCGTCCCTTGCATGGTGTTTATTACGGCATAATTGCACGTTCGTCTCTCCGGCCGGAGAGCCTCTGTTCTTTTTCCCTCCGACAAATGACACACCTCCGTGCTTTGACTTGCTTCGGAACGAAAACGCGGCTCACTCTCGGCTGGTCATAATTGCAACGTTAAAACGCGCATCGCGCACGCGACGCACTCGTTATCGCGCGCGAACTCGGTAATGCGATTTTATCTCGCGTAACGTCGCGTTACGTGTGTTCGCGACAAGCGCGCATCATTCGCGGGGAATTTCTCCGCAAAAGTCGTCGAAGGATACGAGTCAGCCGACGCGACGCGACGCGGCAGGCTCGGTCGGTCCACGGCGCACGTGATAATGCCCATTATCGCGTAAATTCGAGGACGCTGCGATTGAAAATTTTCCGCGTCGTTGCCTATCGACCCGATTAATCTCGCCGCGGTGACCTCCCTACAGTTAACGCGACACGCTTTTCCGCAGACGCGTGAACGTCCGGTGGGCGAGGTGAATTCGATTCCTCCTGTGACGTGTTTTCGATTCTTTTTCCGATATAAAATCTCAGGTCCTTTCTATTCAAAAGGAAGTAAAAATACAAACTCTTTCTCTCTCTCTCTCTCTCTCTCTCTCTCTCTCTCTCTCTCTCTCTCTCTCTCTCCTTCCCAACTCTCTTCTTTTAATATAAAATAATAAAAGGCTCCTTTTGAACAAAATGAGGTTGCCAAAAATAAAAGTTGCCTCATGATTCTTTTCGCTTCGCTGAAAGTAAGGTTCTTTTCATGCAAACAAATGAAAGGTAAAAATAAGAAATCGGAGTGTCAAGCGTTCGCGACGTCGAGCGGCTGAGATCCCGATGCGTTTTTCAACCTTGCCCGTCCGCGCGATCGGCTGGGCGCGATCGGGCTCGGTTTCGTCGTGACACTGCGTGATATACACGTACCTGTCTTCTCTCGCGAGCATTGTATCGCGCGTTCGCGAAACTCCGCGGGTCTCGTGGGCCGACCTCGAGAGTTTCTACGATCGTCATTACGCCTCCAAGGCGCTCGCTCGTCGGCCCTGGACCGACGTTCTACCTCTACAGTATCTATCGCTAGTCTGGTGCACGAGCGCGAGCGAGTGAGACGGAGAGCGCGACAAAGGGAGGAAGAGAGACAAGGCGAGTCGGTGCGCTGGAGAGACAGAGACGGCTAAGATAAGCTATTCTGTGTCTGTGCCGATGGAGCACGCATACAAAACCGCGCACGGCCAATTATCGCGTACGGACAATGCGCGCCAAGGTTCCCGTCCACGAATCTTAATCGCTCGCATCTCTTTCTCCCTTTCTCCCCGTCTGCCTCTCTCGCTTTCTCGCTCGCTCTCTCTCTCTCTCTCTCTCTCTCGCTCTCTCTCTCTCTCTCTCTCTCTCTCTCTCTCTCTCTCTCTCTCTCTCTCTCTCTCTCTCTCTCTCTCTCTCTCTCTGCTTCTTAACGATGCCGTACTTTACAAGGTGTCTCCGGTACGATTTCAAGCCCAGGAAGAAGCCGGCGTCGTGATAGTCGCGCACGCGTGCCTTGTTTTTCCGCGCGAGATACTTTCCCCGATACGCGATCATCCTCTTCGCGTCGCACATACCGCGAGAGCAGCGCGCTCTCCGCACCGTGAAATCGGCCGCGCGCACGCGAAGGGCTGCGACGACGATCACCGGGATCGCACCAGGGAGCGAGGGCTCGCTCTCTCCCTCCCGAGTTGTAAAATCCGGGAACGACGTAGAGATTCTTGGGCGCCGGCGAGACCGCCGAATACAAACGCGTCTCGGGACCTGGGGAATCGCGAAAAAATTTCTACCGTGGCGGGGGAGGGACAGGTCAAAAGGTCCCTCACGGTCCGGCGCGGGCGGGCGTCTGGGCGGGTGACAAATGACGAGCAGACGCGAGGAGGGACGAGATTATGATCCCTCTTGGACGACGAACTGCGCGCGAAAGCGAGGGAATGAAGGAGCTACTTGCTCGTACAATCTGGCTTTTGCGAATGACTCTCGCGACCAGCCCGCATGCTTCCACTGCTCGCGTTGTTCGAGACATTTGCCGGCTAATTAATGGAACGATCCAAAGTCGTGGTGAGAATGTACGACCCGCCGGCAAAAATCGATGATATCGCGCGCGACTGTAAACGCGTTATTACAAGCCCGTCCGTCCGTTTGTTCATCGCCGGCAACGAGATTCCCGCGCTTCTCCAGGGCCCCGGCTAAGGTTATGGCTTGCTCTAGGAGTGCATTAACCCCTCTGATCGCGAGAGCACACCGTAGAAGAAGCGACGCACAAGCGTCGCGGGGCGGGCGCGCGGGGTTAGCCGGCGGAGGGCGGCAAGTAGTCGGGAGGGCGGAAAAGAGGGGCCCGGGACGGGGGAAGGGGGGGAGACGAAGAGAACAGGGGGGCTTCGCCGCAACAGCGTGCGGCGTGTTCTGGTCGCCGAGGCGAGTGCAATGCGAGCGCTTTTGCACAGGGTAGGGAGGAGGGGACGAGGAAGAGCAGGAGGAGGTGAAGAGGGACGACGACGGGGCGGCCGGACTTTCTCCGGAGAGCGAAAGTGAGAGGGCCCCCCGGGAGCGTTCCCCTGGCTGTTTGCGATCTAGGGGGCACCAGGGAGAAGGGGGCTGAGGGAGGGAGAGGAGAAGGAGGAGGAGGAGGACCCGTGCTTTCACCGTGCCCCGACGAGATGCACTTTTCCGCGACGCAGAAACGAAGGAGGCGCGCGCGCGCTCACGCTCGTGTCGAGTTTCGTGAGCGGAAAAATATAATCCCGGGAGTAATTATTAAGAGCGATGGCTGCGAGCGCGCGAGAAAGAAAGAGGAAGAGAGAGAGAGAGAGGAGCGAAAGAGAACGAGCGACGCGGAAACGCGCGTCGTTCTCGTGTGGGAGAAACGCGCGTCACGCGGAATATGAGAATTCGCGCCGGCTTCTCCTCTTTCTCGTCGCCGCTGCCCCGTTGGCGGAGGGACAGGGGGAAACCCTGGTACGAAAATTAATGGTGGCGCGAGTCGCGCGAGATGCAATTACGGGAGAATAGAGCGGAGCAGCGCGCAGCGTGGCGCGGCGCGACGCGGCGCGGCCGACGTGTGTCGTCGTCGCCGACGCCGCCTCTCCCCTGGTCGGGGTAAATGCGCGGCGCCGCGTCTGCAAACACGTGGAAATGGATGAACTTTGAGTACTCGCGCGGCGTCGGCATCGTCGCGGTTCTTAAATAGCCGGGGACCAGAATTCTCGTCGAGAGTCTCGCTCGAAATCGAACAGAGTCTTTCCCACCCGCACCCCCGCCTTTCCACGCCCCGGGGACACCGGGGACCGTTCATTTCCGCTGGATTCGTAAAGGATTCATCGTGTCGAATTGTCGACCGCCAGCGGATTGATGTTCGAGATCGGTCTCGCGCCAATGATATCGCAAATCGCGCGGGGGCTCACCGCGACGACACTTTCGTCGTGGCGGAACCCACTGCCGCGTCAAATCGCGGACAAAAATCGCGCGCAGCTGGTGGTGTCTGCATGCTAATACCGATGTCACGACCATGAAACGACCAGCATCCTTCTCAGATTGGCCTTTAGTAGCCGAGCGCGAGAGAAAGTGCGCCGTGCCTAGGACAAGCTCCGCGCATTTAACATACAATCTATACACGCATGTAGTCTGCATATTGAAAACGCTCTAAGCGCGAGTTCATTACCCCGAGTTTTATTATAGCGCGGTATTGTATACCGAGCGCCGCGTGCGTGCGTGCGTGCGTGCGTGCGTGTGTACGTGTATATGTGTGCTCGTTTCATCGAGATTTATCACACACATTAAGCAATTTTCCTTTCCGACGTTACAATAAGAAGCTTCACATAAGACGTTTCACCGGGAACATTGAGGTTTATGAATTTAGAGGATACTTGGGACTTGCACGGGTGGGAAGAAAAATACCCGTTTCGTCCAGATGATTTCTCGTTGTCCGACGACGAGACGAAGACTCGCGAGTAAACATAGAAAAATTGCTCCAGGAGCTTTCCGTTCGTTCGATTGTCTTCGGTTTCCTCAAGCGAACTTTCAGTCAGTCGAACTGTTGTTTCCGCTCGCGGTGACGAAGTTATCGCTTCCGAGTCGTGAGTTCCTTCTGTTTCTGGTCCCCCAAATACTTTTTTTCACAAACTTATAACATTTTTCTCTTCCGTGTACCACCGCCGTCTGTGTCAATCGTTCGATCGCCGATCCAAAAATCTCGTGAACGACCAACGACGCAATTCGGATGTGGCGAAACGCGGCGAATGAAATATTCCCTAAAAAATCAACGCGGCCTCGACGCTCCTGTGTCGGAGTAGTCGACTCGTTCGTGTTTTCTCCGGCGAACAACCTGATGACTCGCTGCCGACTCGAGGTTAATCGTCTACGTGGCGTTTCCGGACCGATTCGCGGCGTGCCGCTCCGGTACCGTAATCAACATCGAAACTTTCTTATTCCTCGCAACACGCATTCCGCCTGGTCCGCGGGAGGGAGAAAGAGACATTTACGAGGGCGACGAGCGTTGGAAGGGAAAAAACCAGTCCCTTTCGTCGCGGAGAGTGAGTTAGTCACAGCGGCGCGGCGTGGCGCGGCGCGGCGCGGCGCGACGCGACGCGACGCGACGCCGGACAATCGCGAATTAACTTTCTTCGCCGCGACTTCCTCGTCCGCGGTTCACGCGCCGCGGATTAGAGCTCAATCGGCTTTTACCGTACCTCAGCTTTACCGCACCTCACCTCACCGTACCTTACCTCGCTTCACCTCGCGCTCACCTCCTCACCTCCATCATCGCTTCCAGAGCCGCTCGTCAGTGTGGCCGAAGGCCGCGCCGGAGATGTAGATTAACGTCTTTTTTTTTTCTTCCTTTTTTTTTCTTCACTGCCCGTTCTATCCTTTCGTATTTTTCGTTTTCTCAGCGGAGTCCTTGCGTCTGCCGCGAGAAAGTCCGGCCGCGCGGCGACCTCCAAGTGGCGTTTCGATTCCCCGCATAATTTCAGGGGCGAGATGCTTTGACGTAACGCGAATGACACGCAATAATTCGTACCGCGCTGAAAAAGCGACCGTAGCCGCGGAGAGGGTGAGGAGTATATTGGTGTTTGCCGAAGTCGAATTATGCACATTACGCACTGCTGAATGATTCGGCACTGACAGGTTTCATTTTTATTGAGCACGCTTGTCGTACATGATCGTTGAAAATAAAGGGGAACGAGTCGGAAATTCGATTTGTGCAGTCGCGTAATCAGTTTGTGTGACGCTCGCGAGCTGTTCTCCTATTTTCGCGAGTGAGTGATTTCGCGGAATTTTCACCCTTGAAGCTTCCGCGATGCACGCGAGATAAATCCCGAAGAAAAGGAGCGACCGCGCGCGACGTGTGGGAATTAACGGCGAGAAAACTGCCGGCTGTGCAAGCGCGAGTTGTCGCACCCGAGAGCAGCGCGCGGTGCTGTGGACGGCCCTTAAGGCGCGATGTTGATGGCGCGCGTAAATCGCGCGCAATCAATTGAGTTTGATGATTATAGCGACCTGCTCCCCTCTCAGTAGCATCTGCCGCACGTGTCTCTCCAAGGTCTCCATCTTTCCCTCGATCTTCGTTACCGTTGCTTTAGGAACGTTCGGTGGCGCCTCCACCTTGACCGCGTCAGCGCCTGAATCAGAGATACGAGTAGTTGCGACGTCTTCCCCGGCATACATTTGCATACACGCACGCATGCACGCACGCCCTCGCTCCCTCTCGCTCTCCCTAAACGCTAAACGGGAGACGGAGCAACTGCTTTTTCAGCGTTTTAATCGCACGAATGTAAAGCAGCTCCGTTGAAACGTACCGCCTTGACGACGCCGACCCGAGCCACCCCTCTTCGTTTCGGTGGCGGTTTAGCTGAGAGATATTAGATTAGAAAAGGTCTTTATTATCACGGTCTCTAGAAATAAAGATTACTTTCGGAGTAATCTGATAAAGCGTCGAGCAATCTCGGTTAACTCGATAACGTCTACAATTCGTTATCGCGCGCGCGCGCGCGCGCGCGAGAGAGAGAGAGAGAGAGAGAGAGAGAGAGAGAGAGAGAGAGAGAGAGAGAGAGAGAGAGACGAACTTTTTAAAGACGCGTCATATCGAGATCGCCAGATGACAATTTTCTTCCATTTTTCGGACGCGAGAGAGAGTTTCCGGACTCGCGGCGAACGAACGAACGAACGAACGAACGAACGAACGAACGAACGAACAAGCTGGCGGCGGCAGGCACGTGTACGCGCGCCCGCGCGGATAATCGCGATGAAACTTTTACGCTCACTTTCGACACGGCGAAAATGCTCGTTGGCGGAAGTTACCGGAAGTACGTTCGACGGCGTGAATAAACAGCGGGGGGGAAGGGGCAGGGAGGAAAGTCGACAGGCTCACAGGGGAGGGAGTAGTCCGGAGAGGTTGTTTATGTGCCGCCAGCACGTGTCCGTACAACTGCGGAGGCCAAGAATACAGAGGGCCCGGGGCGGAGGGGCAGCGGGGAGAGAGGGCGGAGGGACAGTGGGGGGGTGGCAACGGCGGAAAGGCAGCACGAGGAGCCAACAGGACACGTGTACACGGCCAGGCATCGATCCTGTGGGCTGTTCTTCAAGGTCGCTCGGCGGCCCTCCACCCTCCCTCCCTGCCGGTCTCGTATCAACGACCTCGCGACCCCTCGCGATACGTTCCGAAGTACGTCAGTAGGCCAACTAACCCTGAACTCGGCGTACCGAAAGAGGAAGAGAGGTAGAGAGCGAGAGAGAGAGAGAGAGAGAGAGAGAGAGAGAGAGAGAGAGAGAGAGAGCGAGAGAGAGAGAGAGAGAGAGAGAGCCCAAGGCGTCCCTTTTTACACCGCCATAAACGACGTAGGAAGCAGTTCTCTCTCTGTCCCTGCCACGTGTTCTTGGCGTTGCTTCGCAACGCCTTCGCGGGGGGCTCCATTAACCTCTTCGCGGGGACAGTTTTCGTAAAATTGTAAATAAAGAAGTGAATTAGGCCTCAGCAGGTATCGCGCACAGTCTCGTCTCGGATCCCGCGGCGCATAAGAAACGTCGGTGTGATTAATAGCCAGGTGAAGCTCCAGACGCAAAGTGGTATAAATGGGAGCGTGCTCGTGCAAATTTCTCGACTCTGACACGTTCCTCTCCCTCGTATTTTTTCCTCTTCCTCCTCTTTCTTTGGTCTGGTGACGACCGCGCGCGGTAGCACCGAGAGAGCTTAATGATATTTTCCCACGGCGCCGCGCTGCTAAGCTGATCAGCTGAGAAAATGTGACGTTACATTTTCGGCCGATGTTTGTCGAATTCGAACAAACGCTCGTAAATGTCTATTTCGTTACGAGAGATTACGAGAGAGAGAGAGAGAGAGAGAGAGAGAGAGAGAGGTAGGCACAAGAAATTTATATTTTCGGAAATAATGTTTACGCGCTGTTGTTCCCGGAGGAGTCGGGCTCGCTTGTCTTCCACGTTGCCGGAAAAACAACGAGACTGATTAATCGCGCAGGTTGCCAGTGTCGTTTGCGCGCGATAAGCGAGACTGCTCGATAATGATCGATCGAATCTGAACTCCACCGTCGAGTTCGCAACTCTCACGTTCCCTGCTGACGTAATAATCTACGTGCGCATGCATAGTCGATCGAGTTGTGAGGAATGGGGGAGGGGGAGGGGAGAGGAAACTTCCGAGACCCCGTGAACTTCGGAAAGCGAAACGCATGTCGACTTTAGACGCAGCTGTACACACACAGACAGACTGACTGACAGATAGATAGACCAGTCATCATGTCTGACTGAAGTCGCGATGATTATGAACAACGTCAGTTGAACGTGAGGCAAATTAACGCGTATATTCTGCCGAAAAGGTTGCGATAAACATGGCGTGACCCCGAGGACTGTGAATCCTACATCGTACATTTTAAGCAGCGTTTTTCGACACCTAGCTCGAATCGCGGTGTCTTCCTTAAATGTCGTGTTGGGAATTTTTCGCTTGCGAATGACCGGAGATCGAGGCGCTTCGCTCACGATTGAAGCACCGCATGAAGACTCGGTGAATGGCAACATCGTATCCGCTCGTCGACATTTCCGAAACATTAAAGTTATCAAACACAGAAAGGTCTCTCTCTCTCTCTCTCTCTCTCTCTTTCTTTTTCTCAGTCGCAGATTCGCGCGGGAAAATATCGACTCGCTCGGTCATCCCGTCGCGTGCCGCTCGTACTTTCCCTCCACGCATTATCTCACGTGACGTAAGTTCGGCGAGAAGCGACCAAGGCAACAGCCTACGTACTCGCGAGGTGCAAAACTCACGGGTTCGTCGACCACGCTGCTGCCGGGCTCTCGCGTGTTCGACACGGTGCGGATGAATGAAAACGAGAGGCGAAGGTTGGAGGGCACGTGAACGAAGGAAGGAGGAAAGGAAGGACGACGCGCGAGTAGCGTCGGAGAGGAAAATCATGGCTGGAGAGGGGTCCGGGGGGGGGGTCTACGGAACCATAGGGGAAACGTCTCGCGTGGAACGTGGGGGCGAGAGGGAAAGTGGAGGTGGTCTTGGAACAGGGACGACGGAGATGACGACAAGGAGGAGAAGGAGGAGGAGGAAGAAGAGCGCGGGCGAGAAAGAGGTGCGGAGGAGAATACGAGCGAGCAGCGGCAGAAAGAGGTGGATAGAGCAGAGCAAAAGTGAGCGAGGAAGAGCAGACGTGAGGGGCCACATGGACGGACGAGCTCTCCTCGAACGCGTATCGAACGCGTTCGCGCGACGACCACTATACGTAGTCAAGGTCGGTCCTTGCTCCTGCCGCGAAGCGGCGACCTTAGTGGGATGTATTATCCCCCTTTCGCGCGATACGACGACCCTTCCTCTCTGCTCTACCACGCTGCCTGCTCGCCTGCCTGCCTGCCTGCCTGCCTGCCTGCCTGCCTGCCTGCCTGCCTGCCTGCCTGCCTGCCGCCTGCCTGCCTGCCTGCCTGCCTGCCTGCCTGCCTGCCTGCCTGCCTTCTTTCGCTGCGCGTTGTAAATAAGGACGAGCGGAGCGAGAGAGAGAGAGAGAGAGAGAGAGAGAGAGAGAGAGAGAGAGAGAGAGAGAGAGGAGCGAGCGCGCGCACATTCCCTCCCCGAGGCGAGTTCGTTAAACCCTATCGATTCGTAGCGAAAGGGGGATGGGTATCCCGCGGATTAAAAGTGAATCACTTTTTGCTCCGGTGACGAAGGCGTTTTTTCTCTTAACGATGGTCGAGGGGCGCGGGTGCGAAAGAGTGGCGCCGATCTTCGGTCCGCTGGACCGAAGGAACGGAAACTTGAATCCGTCGCGCTTCCGCGATGCGGCGTCGGCTGTGGAGAGTTAGAGCTCTCTCTCTCTCTCTCTCTCTCTCTCTCTCTCTCTCTCTCTCTCTCTCTCTCTCTCTCTCTCTCTCTCTCTCTCTCTCTCTCTCTCTCTCTGGCCGTACATTTTCTCTCTGCCTACCTCCGCTTCTCCTACGTCTCTCTCGTCCCTCTCTTTCTCTTTCTTGACATCGGGAAGCTGCTGTTGAGTTAAGGGAGTTACGCGACAGCGAGAGATCGTACAACTATTGATTCGCGTCGCGACGTGAATCGGGGCGGATGAGGAGGACGGCAGATTATCCCCCGTCAATAAAATTACTCACGTTGTTAGCGCCGCGAACGGCGATGCGTGCGCTCATCGACGCGACTGTGCGCCGCGGATCTGCACGCTGACCTTTCGATCGAAATTGCGCGCGACCGAGCCGATCAGTGACCGATAACGATGAATAATCCATTAGCCCGACCATCTGGCGGAAAAAAAGTAGTCGCCAGCTGACTCTCGCGGGAATTTCATCACGAGAAAAAATAGCGACCCGTCGCGGCCGCGTCGGCAGCGGCGGGGCGAGGACGAAGAGTGCGCGCGAGTAGTAGAAGTCATTCATGGTCGGGCGCAGCGCGCGGGGACCTCGAATGTACGATTGCGATGGAAGACAGAGAGAGAGAGAGAGAGAGAGAGAGAGAGAGGGAGCGAGACGACGCGAGCCTCGCGGCTTTTCATCGAACGCGGGCAACGCCACGCGTCCGGGTCTCGTGGACGGACGAAAATGTCCACGTCTCCTCTCCGGAGACCGGCAGCCCCGGTAGCAAACTTACATCGAAAGCGCGAAAGGAGCCGGCGGCACCTGCGCCGTTAGCGCGTCGTTGTCGCTGAAGTTGAAGCACGCACGCTCGAAGGTGCGCGTTAACGAGAGCGATTGTCGAGAGTCTCTCGAGGTCGAGCGACGCGAGCGAGGCGAGCTTGAAGCCGCCGATTTGACATGTCGACGCGACCGCTGTCGCCGATTATTACGGCCCTGACCCGATGACAAATTGTCCCCGTGGTTTCGTATCGCGGGTGCCAGGTGGCGAGCAGCGGCACGACCGAGCGGGCTCGAAGAAGGCGAATTCGCGATTTTTAGGCGTCGACCGTGTCACGCGCAAGTCGCGCAACGGCAGCCGATAATCCCAAAATAACACGGCGTACGGGCGAAGCCGGGCGCGCGAAATGACGCGATCCCGAGTTACGTTTGTCGATCGAGAACATCGTCCACGCTCTCCGCGACGCTCCGACGCATTTTCCCCTCCTCCTCCGCCTCCATCGTCTAGGAGCAAGCCGTCGGCTAGGAACGCGCGCGTCGGCGCGCGCGACGTGTTAAATAATTCCGCGCGGAATTCCTCGTCAAGGTGTCGCGCGGCAGCCTCGCGCATCGCGGTGCGTATGAATTCTTCCCCAGGGCCGGCCAGTAGTACCGTGGAGCTCGCGCTCCGAATTACCACGGCGAATGTCGCGCAAACAAATGTCGGAGGTTAGCGGCGGCGAGTTTCCTCGCGCAAGACGTCTCGTTTTTCTCTCTCTCTCTCTCTCTCTCTTTTTGTGCGTGCGTCGGCCGACTCGATTAGCATCTCGACGATTAGCTCTCGTCGCGGCATATTGTATGTGCATCGCCGCTGGCGAGAGGGAGGGAGCAAAAACGCACACGCGCGCGAGGAGGCGCGCGAGGATAATTGATCAGCCGACTCCTTTGGACGATCGCCGCGCTTCTCGTCGGGTGCGTGTTGCACAACACAGCGATCGTGCACCGCGCGAGCGTGTTTATGCGAGAACGATCGCCGGGGATTCACGATGGACGACGCGAGCGGCTTTTGCGAATTTTACTCGTCCTAACCCGCGAGGAATCGAACCTGACACGTAAACGCCGCGCGAATTTCACGGCTCGCTTGAGCCGCGCTGCATTATCCTCCGGCGTCTCTCTCTCTCTCTCTCTCTCTCTCTCTCTCTCTCTCTCTCTCTCTGTCTCTCTCTCTCTCTCTGTCTCTCTCCTCGTCGGGAACGAGTTTCGTATCGGATGAATAAAAGATACGGCACGAAGGCAATCGGGCTCCCATTCCGGCCCTCTCAAGAGAGCCGCACGTTGGGATGCGCGACAATTTGTCCCGCGCGCGGAATCGCCGCGAGTAAGTCGAGCGTGCGAGCGAAGCAAGTCGCAACGTAATCCGCGCTTTCCTATGTAACTTTGGCCGTCCGCGCGCTCGATTCTCTTCGTCTCCTTAACGTCGCTGAGCGACGTTAAGGAGACGAAGTTAAACGACCAAGTTAAACGACGGAAACTACGTGGCGTTGCACTCGGCATGCCACTGATGCGACGCGTAACTAGATTCTTGCAGGTGATCTCACACACACACACACACACACACACACACGCTCGTCGCATGAGGCTGCGGTAATCGCGGAATAACAAACATTTAAATGCAAAATCGATTTAAACGGCGAGACAATCGCGGTCGCCGATGCGTCAAGTGTCGCGTCCGCGAATATGTGCCAAGTGCGACAACGGTGACGATTTAATAATCGCGAAAATCGCGCGATAACAAGAACCCCCCTTAAGGGGGGGGGAGGGGAATCCGCTGAGGACTCGAATCCGAGACCGAGGTCTCTCGTGCGTCTCTGCGAACATTTCAATCGCCGTCGGCACTCGCGGCAATCCGGGCCGAGTTGTCGGTCTGTCGAAATTTCCTTCCCTTCCCTTCGCCGAGAAAAGTCAACTCGCCAGATTGGGCGGAGCGGTCCTCGCGCTGCGCGTTATAATTACCGTCGTTTGACGGCGCTCGAGCTTTAATAGCGGGGATCATCGTACCGAAGGCGGGCGCTTTCCTCTTGACTTTGCGACTCCAGATCTCGTCGCAGTCCTCCAGTGCGAGGTTCCAGTGTTTGTCGAAGGCGACCACGTATGCCTCCACGTATCCCCTTATGTTGCGCGCGTTCCTCGTGTAGACCTTCGGCACAAAGAACGCTCGATTATTCCTTTTAGATCGCGACGAGTCGCCGTGTTACCCGCCTCTTCCAGGTAAAACCGCGCTAGCCTGCAGGAGCAGAAAGACACGGAACGAGCGAAAGAGGGAGAGAGAGAGAGAGAGAGGGAGAGAGACGCGCAATCTCTCTTCACTTTCGATGATCATCCGGAGCAGAATCGCGCGATAAATATACGAGGCGAGCGTTTTTTGCGCTCCTCTTTCGACCAACGCGAAATCGCGAAGCAACGGGAATGCAAAAAAGTACGCGCGATTCACGCTCGCACGCACAAATGAATATTATGCAATTCCCCAAGAGGGAGAGAGAGAGAGAGGGGGGAGGGGGGAAGGAAAGAGAGAGAGAGAGAGAGGCGTGTTCTCGAGCCGCGACGTTATTTTGTATTGTCGTCGTGAATATTTATATTCTCGTCGGGTTATATTAGGCGAGTTATCGCGTGTATGCAAATCGACGACGACTTTTTGCGCCTTTCCGCGTGGCACACGTATTCGTCGAACGTGCGTATTATGGATCTATTATACAATTTTAATCACATTGCGTGTCGCGAATGTAATTTGTGTAGCTCGTCTCATCGTTAGTCGTAATGATTGTCATTAAGTTTGTTACTGAGTTTGTAGAATCTCGTCGAATTCGCACTCGTAATTCGGCGACCTCCCGACCCGCAGATATTTGACTTTCGATCTTTCCCTCCTTTCCTTCTTCTTGCTTCTCTTTTCTTTTCTCCTCGGCTAAACCGGGGCTCACACGAGGGGAACGCGTAACGGGACGCCTAATTAGGGAAGCGCGACGCTCGCATTCGCTCGTCGGAGAAAGCGCGTCGGCGAGCGTCGCTGAGCCAAGCGTAGCACCTCTTCGAAGAATGATTGCATTAATGACGGCGGGCGGATCGAACGAAGGCTCGCGGGACGCGAGAAAACTCGTTGTTTGTCGCACAGATACGACCGCGGGAGACTAGATAGCGGCCTGATACGCGGAAGTGTGCTGGCCGACGCGAAGCAAGGCCCCCTTCAATGCCTTTCGCGCGCGCGCATATACACATACAGACAGACAGACATACCCGACACATACACACGCGCACGTGTACACAGATGCCGGCTTAGACGCAATGAAAACTAATTGCGAGCCTCGGACTGCTCGTGTGTGTCAGAGCGCCATTGAGCGCCGACGACGTCCGCGAATTAGCTAGAATCGATTCTGAGGACTGCTCAAGACCGCTGTCGACGACGACGACGACGACGACGACGACGACGACGACGACGACGAGAGGAGTCCGTTCCGCGGCGACGGAGCTCGCGCATTAACCCTTCCGCGTGCGAATGATGGACGAGCTGATGGAGTCTCACTCGCTTTCACGAATCGGTCCGAAACAAGTCAGCTCTCTCCCTCCCTCCCTCTCTTTCTTCCTCGCACCGCGATCGTTGTTCTGTCTCAGCCCATCATTTTTACCGGTCTCTATTAACTTTCGCCGAGGCTCATCGTCGGACCTCGAACCTGTCGGGCCGACAATGCGAGGACGAGGAAATATACGGCCGACACGTGCGAAACGCGCGAGTGTGTGGCTCTGAATATTTCAGAGTCACGGTGTGTAATCGCTGTTCTCCGCCGGCGAGGGAACATCTGCGAGTGCTGTAATCGCGCGAGCTTGATATTCCGCCGCGCTGGATTTTCCTCCGCTGCGCGAGCCCAAGGATCCGATCGGGAGGTCGTCGCGTCGCGTCGCGTCGCGTCGCGTCGCGCGCGGCAATGAGATATCGAGGGCAATTCGGTGGAAACCTCCGGCGCGGCGCGGCGCGGCGCGGCGCGGCGGCGGCGTGGCGAGGGGCGAATTCAATTAGACCGGAAAACTTGGGAAGTGCTCGAGGCTACGATCGAGTCGGCCGCGCTTGGGCGCGATTGCTCTTCCGTTACGCTCGCGACGTAGCTCCGCCGCGCCGGGTCGGCGCGCATTGTGTCGCGCACGTGTGTCGAGGAAGAACATCGCGCGAACGTGCGCGAGTCCCGTTGTTCTCGCGCGGCTGTCGCGCGAATAACGATACCATGCGATATGATAATGGCGAGAGGCAAGGTCACGAAATCCATACACAATCGGTCGATCTATCACTCGGTCGCATTTAAATAGCCGAGATGTGTGACTTGCAAAAGATAGGAAAAGCTACTTTGCATTCGTATCCCCTGGTGGATGGTTAAAAAACGCGAAGCGAGATTCCTCGACACCGTCACTTGCTAGCAACTGCGTATTCCTCTGGGCCCTCGAATTTCTCGAATCCCTTCGGCACGAATGAGAGGCTCTTCCCAAACAACTGCCCGCGCCGTCGTGCCGATCGGCGCGGTCGAATTGGCTTCGCGAGTTTCCCGATAGAGACACTCGTCCGCCTGTTCGATCGCGGACGACTCGACTAGGGTAATCGATGAGAAAAAGCCGCGCGTGCTTTCCTCGGCAATTTTCGCCATCGAAGGTCGACCCGTCGAGATAAAATCTTCTTTCCGGATGCGTCCGAAGGTCGCGGGAGATTAGGATCTGCCGTTGCGAGGACGGCGACTCGACTCGACTCGACTCGAAAGACAGGAGACGAGCCTTGAAGAGGCGACGACGTCACATTCGCCGCCGCCGCCGCCGCAGCTGATGACGACGACGATGAAAGTTAACAAACGCAATTAGTTTAAGTTCGGTTTCGGTGCGCGGAAGGAGGCTAATCAGAAACTCCATTCTCCTCGTTGAGATATATATCCGACCGGCGCGCAGAACGGCGCTTCCGCAGGAAGCCCAATTAAATCAATTTGACTTTTATTTTCCATTACGGCGTCTCATTGTCCTATTATTAGCCGGCCTTAGGCTGGCGCGAGGCAGCGCGATCATTAGGCGCGCAGCGCCGCGAGAAATCATCGGGCGCGATTAGATAAGTATGATGATTTATCAGCGCGCTGCGCGCACCGCGCGCGCGATCCTCACGACTTTCCACGCGGCGACGCGCTTCCGGATTAATTGTGCGTCGCGTCGCGCGACCTCGCCGACATTCTCTTGTTCATTCGTCTTCACATTATATTCGTCTTCGCTTGCGGGATTGGCGCTCTTGCAAAAACGCCAAGCAACGGAAAAAAGGAGGAGGAAATAAAAAAGAAAATATCCGCGAAAGTATAAAAAAAAAAAGAAAAAGAGAAATTCGCGGAAGAAGTATGAGATGACGGATAAGTAGAAGATTGCGGATTTCCGGTTCGCCGCGAACAGTCTGCCGCGAAATTCGAAATAAACAGCAGTTTCCGCCGTAATGTCTGCCGGGAGAGAGATTTGTGGAAAAATTGCGCTCTGTCCTCGAGGGCAGGCGGCGCGGCGAGCTCTTCCGGACGCGATTTCCGTGCCACCTTCGGGTCGCCCGGAGCCGCGACGACGGCGTACGTCAGGGACGTAGTAGCGTAGGCAGAAGTGGCGAGGGACGAGCGCCACGCTCGGCGTGGTTGTCATGGTTACGAGTGTTGACCCGAGCGCGTTCTTCCTTCCTCCCTAGTCTCGCGGCTCTAGGCGAAGGGAGGAGGGCTCGCCGCCGCCCTCCGGACACCTCCGAAGGGCTCGCGCACGTGTCACTCGGCCGCGAAAGTGTGTCAGCCGCGTGTGCGTGCACGCACAATACCAGAGGTCGCGCGGGCGGCGGGGCGCAGGGACGGCAGCGCGTGGGCGGACGAAGTGCCGTTTTAAGAACTGCTTTTACGGCGGCGGCGGCGGCGAAGGCGAAGGCGACGTATGGGGCTAGGGGAGGAGAGTCACCCCTCGTCGTCGAAAAATTGCAACAGAAGTCGTGCCACCTCGCGGGAGCAGTCTCAGTGTATGCGCGTGTGTCTAGGAAGCGCGAGAGGATAACGACGGACGGGAAATAGGAAACGCCGGTTTCCAAGGCGATTCTTAAATGCACAATTCGACCCATCATTATCATTAATTAGCGAATCATCGCGTCGCGACTTTCACCGTTCCTCCATCAGCCGGGGCAGCGCATCGCGTACACTTCGCTGTACTTACTAACAAATGTAATAATAATAAGATACCTGCGAGTGTTTATTTCTCTCTCTCTCTCTCTCTCTCTCTCTCTCTCTCTCTCTCTCTCTCTCTCTCTCTCTCTCTCTCTTTCTCTGTCTCTCGCGAAAATTTCCGCGAACGGTCTCTCTCGAGGCCTTCTCCAGACTCGTAGTTGCAAGTTTGCGATTAATTTTGCGAAAGGTAATCGTGAAAATTATTTCATACGCGTCATTTCGCGCGTGATTCGCGACGAAGGGCCGCACGAAACTCGAAACATTCGAACGGAGGGCTCTCGAAGCATCGATCGAGTCAAAGCAGTCGTCGGTCTGACCTACCCTAATTCGGTTCTTGTTCTCCATCCAACTGTAGAGCATTCCTAACGGGCCGAAGGTCCTGTGCATTTTCGAGAGAACATTCTTCTGCTTCAGGCTCTGCTGGCGTCTTCTGCTAGGCACGGGTTCTGTAAACAGTCGGAAGATATAGATGTTAAATGCAGGCTCGGGCGTCTCTCGCGAGCTCGCGTAGGTCGCTCGGCGAGTCGAGCGTGCGTTAAACATCCACGCGAATTTTAATGTACGAGCTGATCGAACATCTCGCGTGAATCTCGCGGAAAACGAAGGGCGATTCATATCGCCGAAGAGGAGGAGCTCCTTCGTGAACTTGGCGTCGGAATATCGAATTTCGAGGGCGTCTCGGCGACGGCAACGGCGACTTGGTTATTCGCGATACGTGTTCTTCGCGATGCAGTCGAGTCGCGGCAAATCGAGCGAGCGGTGACAAGAAGAAAGAAAAGTTCTATCGCGGTGCGGATGGAGAGGGACGAGGAGACGGCGCGGCGTGTTGCTTCGTTACGTTCGATATTAAGACGCGTATTACGTATACTAATGTAATTGGTGATAATTTTGCAGAGAAGTGTAGGAAATAATAATATGCTAGCGGCAAGCAATGTGAGTAATTAAATACGTGTTATAAGTATTAAAATATTCGGAGGGAGGGAGGGAGAGAGAGAAAGAGAGAGAGAGAGAGAAGGGGGGAGATATGCGCGATCGATATCTATAGACTGTCGAGAGTAAAGTGTCGATGCTAAAAATACTCGGTGTGCAAAACAAAGTTTTCTCCACGTCCTCGGCGACTCGATGCATCGCGCGAACGCAGCAGCAAGCAAACAGTAAACACGCACGGGGAAAAGTGGCTCGGCTGGACGGAACAATCGTCCGCGCGTGGTGAAGTACGAACGATTCGGAAAGTCCGATCGCGGTAGTGAAGAGACAGTCTCGTTCTGAATGATTTAGATTTCCGGTTAATTCGAGCAGAAATCCGGCATTTTCGATTGGGATTCCCCCCGAATCGGTGCTGGAGAGCCGAATGTTTTTCTCTCCGGGCGGACCGCACGACCGGAACCGACGGGGATAATGGCGACCGAGCGTGGCGCGTGACAGACGGCGTGAGCGGTACCGATTTTATCGCATTTTATCGCAATGGTGAACACGAGTGAATGAAAATCGCGAGATGAATGTTCGTATATCCGGCCACGCCGGGCCGAGTCGCGGACGGTATCGGTATCGCCGGAGTATCGGAAGCAGCACCGGAGCCGCGGCCGGGTTGCGCCGTTGTATTTTTACGAGCCGCCGTAACATCGCGCTAATAAGAATTTATGCGGCTCTCTCGTGTCTCGTGGACTCGCTCGACAAATCATCGTTCATCCTTGCGCGCGCTCGCGCTCGCGAGGAGCGGCGGAGCAGCCGATAGCATCGCGCGTTGCGCTCGTTCCTCCAGCGTTCTTGCTCCTTTTTGCCGGCGTGACTACGAGACTTTACGCGGCCACGAGAGCTTCATTAACCCCGTCGTCGTTGTCGTCGTAGTTGTGGCCGTAGTAGTAGCCGCACACGCGGTGCGTTGCTAACTTCTCCCGGTTTCGCCGCGTAAATCAATCGGCTCCTCGCGCGCGCGCGCGTGTGCGCAACGTCCAGCCGGAAAAACGTAACAGCATTGAGATATCCGGCGCGGAATGCGTGTCGAAGCAAGCCGCGGCAGTTGTCGAGCGGGTTCGCTGATTTCCAGTTTTTGCGACACGTGCCTTTCCATCAAATTCATTTGTTTTTTTTTTTACCTCGCACCGACTTTGGTTCGACTCTCGTTTCGTTTCGAGCGTCGCCGACCGATATTGATACGATCTCGAACGTTGCCGGGCGAGAAAAAATCCTGCGATTCCTAATCTCGAGAGAATCGCCGTCGCGCGCCCGAAAGCTCTCGCTCGAAAGGTCTCCCCGAGCTTCTCGCGACTTGCGGCTCGGGAACGGTAGGTTCGGCCCTGGCGTCGTCGCGCGGAAAGAGGAACGCCGCGGAGTTACGTAAAGCCTCGGCGGCGGCGGCGGCGGCGGCGAGTGCACTTATTTTCTCCGTGTACACGGCGCTCGAGACTCGCACACGAGCTCGTGCTCGAGCGGTGCAACATGAACGGCGCACAGCGAGAGCTGCAGCGAGCAGCACGCGCGTGTTCGCGCTCGCGAGATCGACGGTGCCAATTGGCTTTCTCCGATAACTTTCATCCACCTAAAGGCCCGTCGCGGCCGCTCGCTCCGCTTCTTTTCCACCTTTCTTTGTTCCTTTCCGCGTGCACTTTCACTATCGCGCGATCCAATTGCCCGCCGAGCGGCTGCCGAGCGTCGTCGTCTCTCGTCTCCGCCGCGGCGAGACGGATCGTCGTCGACGTCGACGTCGACGTCGACGACGAACAGCGCGCGGCGAGTCTCGCGTCTCGCGTAATTAAGTCGCGAGCGCGCTGAAGAATTATTTTCTTCTTCGCCGGCGTCCGTACAGTCTCCTCTCTTCCTTGAGACCGTGCATCTCGATTCTCCGGGAAATTGATCGTCGAATCGCGAGTCTTTCAGAACGGCGACGAAGCGGCGGCGGGGGTGGGGGGAGGAGCAGGAGGAGGAGGAGGAGGAGGAGGGGAGTTGAGGATACGCGTTTCTCCTGCTAAAGCGCAGGCTCTTGTTCGTTGAATTAAAAAGGAAGGAAATTCGTCGATCGTTCGATAGATAAATCGCAGGCTTATCTCTCGGAGGAGGAAGAGGTGGCAGGAGAGAGGCAGGGAGGAGTGAGCGCACTCGCGTCCACCTTCGACCTTCCGGCCGTTTTTCCTCTTTTCCTGCGCGCGCTCCTTTGCGCCTCGCATGCTCCGGTCATCTTCCTCGGCGAGCGCGCGAGCGCGCGCGCGCGCGCGCGCGCAGGAGAACGTTCACGTTCACGTTTGCGTGAACCGCGCGCAGGGAACCGTTAGGATCGCAACCGCGCGGCCGTGCGGGGAGGAACGCGAAACGGTGACTTTATCGTCCCTTCTCTAGGCAGGGTGAGCCACGGAGGTGTCCGTCGTTCCGTACCTCGCCGCGCACGTTCGTTAACCCCTCAAGGCATCGCGCTGCTCGGCCTAGCTATATACAGGGTGTTCTCGGTGGTCTGCGCGCTTCTGCTGGACCGCGCTCGGCCCGGCAGTTGGCTGCGTTTCTCTCCTCGCGGGCAAGTGTAATCCTGTTATCCTGCGCGAGTCGATAAGTTTTGCGAGGCCGCCGAAAGGCGGTGCTTTCGCGGACTCTGAGCGCGATTGAGGTTCGGAGCTTGGTCGTCCTTGCGGCGAAAATTCACCACGTCGGCCATGACCACTCGACTCACTTGAAGCAGCGCGCGCGTCCCTCGGCCGGCCGGGAGCGAATGTGTGCTTTACTAGAAAACGCGAGGTCCTATTCGGAAAGTTCAGGGATGAGAGATCTCCACGCGCCACGGCGATTTCGTCACGGCGATGCTTCGTCAAGCACGCTCAAGGTGTGCGATTTGCGTTTTATGAGCGTGTTTTATGTTTCGCGGCGGGAGGGTCAACAACAGAGCGACGTTTTGCCGATCGCGCCGCGCCTCGGCTTCTCGGTAATTTTGCAACGAGTTTTCCGATTGGCCGTCCGAGCGCGTGCGGGCCAAATATTTGGGCTTCGGATGTTTCGGCACGCGATCGGCCCCGCGGATCGCAAATTATCACGAGGTCGTCGTCGGCGCTCCCGATTGTGAGTGAAGACACCGGCCTTCGCGCTCTTGTAATATCGATTTGGAAAGAAGCGGACCTTCGCGCCCGCGATTCTCCGAACCCGAGAGACCCAAGGTCCCGCCGACTTGCGCAAAGCTCGCTTGCGCAAAGCTCGTTTTCGCGAAAATCGCCGAGGGGCGAAGCATCAACGATTAACGCACGATGTTGATGATTTTGCGTAACGCCAGCTAAACTTCCTGCTTGCGCGTTCTTGTTTACCTCCATGTCGTTGCACACAAGACGAGGCAAAAGGACGCGCGTTTCGCATTTCGCCGCGATTCTTAGCGAAATTGAACGGTAGTACGCGATTCGCCTGCGCGTCCGACGAAGTCGCCACGCGACGTTCGACGATTCGATCGCTAATCGTAAGAGAGAGAAAGAGAGAGAGAGAGAGAGAGAGAGAGAGAGAGAGATACACAGACAGAGAGGGGACAGGGGAGGAGAAAGAAAGAAATACGAGAAGCCGTGAGGCATTATCACGGACGTGATCGAAATCGCGAGAAGGTGAGGGAACGTAGACGCGTAGAGAGCAAATCTGCCGCTCAGGCGGAACGGAAATGAGGGTAAAGAGAGAATTTCCATTTCATTAATTAGCAATATGCACTCGTCGACGTCCGTCTGCTCGCTGCCCCCCTGCGCTCCCCGCGACATTGCTCTCGCCATTATCGACTGCAGCCGCAGTCGCGGCTATCGTCGGCGTTTCGAGCGCGTTTTTTGCCCCTCGCATTCTTCGTTTCGCTGCAGCGTCCAACGTCACGGGAGAGGCGTCCCGCCTCGGGAAGCTCGGCGCGCTCGCTCTCTCTCTCTCTCTCTCTCTCTCCCGAGAGAGAGAGAGAGAGAGAGAGAGAGAGAGAGAGAGAGAGAGAGAGAGAGAGAGAGAGAGAGAGAGAGAGAGAGAGAGAGAGAGAGATTTTCCGGCCTCGCGACGCTCGACCGGCTGTGCGGCTGCTCGACCGTCCGTCCGTTCGTTCGTTCCGTCGTCGCGACACCGCGCAAAAAGGGCCCGCGAACATCTGCACGACGCGCGGCGTGTCTCGCGTGTTGTTCACCTGCGAAAATGTTCGCGCGGTGCGTGCGAAGGAGCAGTTGGGCCGAACCCGCGGAGAGGAGCCCGGGTCGCAGGTGGGTACGACGGCCCTCGTAGAATGTTCGCGCGCGGGGGTTACACGGCAGGGTGACGGGAGGGGAACGAGAGAGCGCGCGCGAGAGAGAGAGGGGGGGGGCGAGCGGGTGGGGTCCCTCTCCCGTGTACTCCGTCGAGAACGGCGAACGAAATATCGCGGGACGAGGCACGGGGAGGGAGGAACGGACGAGGAACGGGCGGGAGAGGAGCTACAAGCGCGCGGCTTGTACCCGCGGATGATCCCCAGGTTGAGTCGCGCTGG